TACTGTATATATACATACTGTATAGAAAGCCTATTTACATTTAATCATTTTATTATTTCTTGGGGGCTTTATCTCATGTAATTCGATAAATTTAGGCAGCATAACTTATTACCTTCAGCATTTGTTTGTCTGAGATTTGTTTATGATAATTGTTACTTTCTGTCAGATTGTTTTCTTTGTGCATGACATAGTTGTTTCATACCTTTCTTTTCTTTTCCTCTTCATTCCCATCGAGGCTGCCTAAGTGCGTACCAATAACTAGTACTGGCGGTGAAAGTTGTCCATCTTCCTCTGAATCTCGACTGTTGGTGTAAACTGATCGAATCCAGTACAGAATGAACTCAAGGTTTGTCATCCGATGTTCGTATATATCACCCTGAAATAAAACAGAAATTAATACAGTAACATAATTTAAAGAAAATATCGTATGTATTAATGTACTGTGAGTCATCTGTATAACACCACTTAATCCTGATTTTAAATTTGATAAAATTCATGCAAAACCTGCTAATGAATAAATGTTGGTAAGAAATAATGCTTACAGTGGTTGGATCCCTGACTTTAGCTGGGGAGTCAAGATCATCTTCCAGGTTAAATACCACACAAATAACGGCAAAAGATACCATAAATATCTACAAGAAAATGATTTACAATCTATTTTTTTTACTAGTGAAAACTCATTTAAATACCTAATAATTATTTTTGTAACTTAATAACAACTATAATTTATTATTTGATGTATAGAATTTACTCGTTGTATCACATGATATATCGGCTGGCCCCCGAAGTCCCAGATACTCATAATGAAATCTTTGCCAGATTTTTGCCATTCTTGCGTCGCATCTCCTCTTGTAAACTTGAGTTCTTTTATTCGCTCCTGTGCTTTAGTGGCGATGGTTTCGGGGACCTCTTCCATCGATTGTGCCTGTGTCTGTCCTTTGGTATCTGATTCCATTTTCGGGTTTCTGGCATCAACATTCGATGATGATTGTCCTTATAGAAGATTCAGAATAAAAAATTATAATTTATATTTCAAAACCAAGAAATAGTAGGATAATGGGGTTTTCCACTGACCCTACAAGGTTAGGTAGTGCTTGGTATAGTGAAGTGTCAGTGAGTTAATGAGAGTTTTTTTTTTTATCTCTTGTTCCAAGTTCTATTAGCTGTTCCATGTGGTATTCTTTTGGCAATGTA